AGTTCACCATGCCGTTGAACAGGCCGGAAAGGAGGCAGACAAAGTGGTCCATGGGTTCAACGATGGGGTCAACCAAGCCGGGAAGGAGGCAGAGAAATTTGGCCAAGGGGTCAACCACGCTGCTGGCCAGGCTGGAAAGGAAGTGGAGAAACTTGGCCAAGGCGTCCACCATGCTGCTGGCCAGGCCGGGAAGGAGGTGGACAGGTTGCAGCAGAATACTCATAATGGGGTCAACCAAGCCGGCAAGGAGGCCAACCAGCTGCTGAATGTAGGTGAACAGGGGGGGGAATATGAGGGGGGAGGGGCCGGGGAGGGAGACGTTAAACCTTGGGAAGCTCGGGGAGCCCAGGTAACCCTTACATGGTGAAAGAAGCATAGGCAACTATGTAATCATGTCGCCCTTCTTCCTTACAAAGAAGCTGGTGGTCAGCTGGTCAGATGGATCAAGCCACCTTATCTGCAAAGCCCTATGCCAGACAGTGTGAATGGGACCCAGCCCCAGCTTCAGGGAGCTGCCCTCCTAGTTATGGAGGTCTAGAAGCCTTTCCTGGGAAACAGGAAATAGTTATTGAGCCAAGATCAATTACAGTGGGAGCAAAATGAGTGTTGCGAAAACGCAGAGCTTCAGAGCGAGCATGAGGAATACCTTTGGAGATGAGCCCTTTTCTGTTTAATTTTCATAATGAGCCTCTGAGGTAGTCGGGGTGAGGAGGCTGACTCCCTGCTTCTCAGATAAGGAAAGCAAGGCTCAGTAAGGTTTCAGGGGATTTGGAGGTCATATGGACAGCACACAGCTTTGGTAAATCACAGGTGAGGGCTCTTTCTCTTCCTCCACACTGCCCCATCAGAGCAGGTCTGCTGGAGGACTTCTGATCCCCATTTATGTAGAAGGGAACAGATAATGGAGGGCAGGAGAAGCAAGCAGCGCCATGCACAGCAAAGCAGGCATCAAGGAGGCGGCTTGGGGAATAGGAGAAGGCTGACTCTTGGCCTGCCTCACTTCCCCACTCTCCAATCTCCAGGTGGAGTCTTTGGGACGCCACCTTGAGGACTGGCGCAGGCCTTCACAGCCCGTAACCGCATTGGCTTGCCAGGCAGGGAGCCAGGCATGGTGGAAAGGACTATGTAGAAAGTGCCCACGGTAGGGAAAAGGGCTCTGAGTCAGATGGCAGGATTCACCAGGTAGAGGCCAGGAGAGGGAGGTTTGTTTTGGGATTCCAGGCTGACGGCAGCAGTGGGGACTCCTTGCTGAGTGTCTGGGGATAGGATTAAAGACTAAGATGGATCAACCTGAGTTAGAGAGCAGGCTCCAGTGTGTGTAGAGGGGGTAGATTTAAGATCAAGGCTGAGGTTAACTATGGCCCTGGTATTTGTGTGGGTCCTCTGGGTTCCCTTTCCAATCAGACCCCTTCTCAGCAACTGAGAGCATCTCGTTAACTCAAATAAAAGGGAATTGGGAGAAGAGTAGTCAGTCGGGGCAAACATCCTTCCCGGCTTTTCTTCCCATCGCCCACAGATTTCCCACGGCAACAGGGCTTTTGGGTTTTCCTTCTGGACAGAGAGGGAACAAGGGGTTAGTCACCCTAAGGGCAGCAGGTCACTAGGGAAGAGGAACTTGGAAGACCCTCAAGGGTCTTCCTACGAGGGACTTGTAATGATGGTCTGGGCTTTGTCCACAGGGCGCTCGCCAAGACGGATCCACCGGCCATCACGGAGGGGGCGCAACCACAACATTAACATCTGGAGTAAGTCTCCCCATCACAGCACGGACTCGGAGGTGGGGGAGTGGAGGACATCTTAGGATGGTGGTGGGACGGGGGGAGGGGCTGGGGACTGACTCTCTTATCTTTGAATTCCAGGCTTCGGTCAACAAGCCCTTCATCAACTTTCCAGCTCTGTGGCGGGTGAGTGCCCACATGGTTTCAGATTTCTGCTTTCCATCTTGGGAGATATTTGTACACCCCTCCGCCCTTCCCATCGCTTGTTCATGGACCACTTCCCTGCAGTCAGACTCGGGCTCTCAGAGACCATCCAGTGTGTTTCCCAGCTCTGCTCTTCCCTTTTTCCTTCACATCCTGCTTTCATCTTTTGGGTGCTTCCCATCCCCACTGAGGCACACACAGGCTCACAGAAAAGGCCTCCAGGGGGCATGTCTGCATCTGAGAGCAAGGGAGGTGGTGCTGAAACCATCTCCTCCCTATGTCCATCTCTCCTCATCATCTCTCCTCTGACTGCCCCCTACCTCAACCCACTGTGAACACCCCTGCTGCCCAGCCCCTGCTGCCTTGCTGCAGTATGCTGGGTGGCGGGAACTGGCAGCTCTGTCCTTTTCCTGGTTGACAAACTCCCCACCACTAGTATAAAGGCTCCTGTGGGATCCTGGTCCTCACTCTGGGCCCAAAGTCAAGTCCTAGTTCTACTCTTTGCATTGAGTACCTCCGCTGCCTGAGGCGAGGACAGTAGGGTGAGGGGGTAGTATCAGCTCTGTAGACTGTGCCTGGAACCCGAAGGCATCCCTTGTTTATTCCCAGGCTCTGGGGGTGGCAGGGGATCCTCTGAGGCAAAGCAGACAAGGCTTCTCGGTTCCTACAGGGGCCTCTGGCATCTCTGCCTGGGAGGGCTGGCTCCTTATTCTTCCTTAATCTAAGTGCCAGCTTCCTTAAGACATTCCCTAGAACATAGGTAATTCCTGGGCCAGAGTGGCCAGTCTGCCTCTCGTTTCTCTAGGGGGTATGAGTGCAGAGGTCTCGGTTCCCTCCTTACAGCATACCCTGCACTCACTCCCTATCTCTCTCTCTTGCAGAACGTCGCCAACATCATGCCCTAAACTAATGCACTGGCCTTGCTGAGCAGACTGACATTCCTGTTGTCCTATCATCTGAAATGACCTGGAGGAGCGGGGTGGGGGTGGGAGGTGGGGAGGGATAGGTTTTGGGAATCCCTAAGGGAATTGTACTGAGCTTTGTGAATAAATACGACACACCATACTCTCATCATGGTCCACGTGCTCCCTGGAGGGGTCGGAGGTGGGAGGCTTGTCATGTCTCTTCTTGCTCCTTTGCTGCCGGAGCTGACTGGAGATTTCAGGCTGATCAGATCTAAGAGGGCGGTTACAGGGACAAGCCATCCTTCATCAGTGTGCAAAGTTCATGTGGGGCACTGGGAGGAGCGTCATTGGGGGTTCAGGGGGGAACGGAGTGCAGAAGCCTCTTCAGGCCAGTTAGTGGGGGCAGAAGCACTGGGGAGAGGCAGCAGGAACCTAGGGGGAGCCCAAGGGGGTAGTGTCTTCATTCAAGGGATGTGGTAGCAAAGGAATAACAATGATCACTTGGGTTTATTGTGCAGTTTAGGCATGCTAGGCTCCCTGCTGGGCACTTTATGTGCATGACATCACTAAAGCCTCCCAACCGCCCAGTTAGGTAAGAGGTACTGTGATTGTCCCATTTTATAGAGAAGCGCGTGGAGGCTCGCGCAGGTTTAAGAAACATGACCAAGGTTACACAGTTGGTAAATGGAGGGAGAAACAGCCTAAGAGCTACAAGGGATATTCTGAAAACACACGGGTCTCTCCCTGTGTGGCATCCTTAGGGAGGGGACTCAATGAAGGACGAGAGAGGAAAGAGATACATGTGGGAGTGCCTTTCACAGGGAGGAGGACCAAAGGCTCAGGGGGAAGGCACACTGATGACAGGCACTCTTTACAATGACAGGAATGGTGACCCAGAAGCCTCAGTTTTCAATCTGTGGATGACTCAAAGCCCAGAGGAATCAGGATAGCGACTACTATATATCAAGCACTTACTGGGTTCCAGATCCTGTGTGAAGAGATGTTCTTGCTCTGTAACCATTTAAGCCTTCCCCAACTCAAAGACAGAAGTCCTCTTATCATCCCCATTGTATGGATGAGGAAACTGAGGCTCAGAGGGGCCGAGACACATGCCTGGGGTAACCCATGAGAATGCAGCAGGCCTGTCTATTGCCAGAAGCTGACCTTTCGCAGCTGCCTATGAAGCCTCTAGAACACTTACCAAGCCCTGGCCTGGCTGCTGGGAGCCCTGCATGCCAATCAGGACCGTGAGCCTGTAGGCGGCTTGCTGCCCCTCTAGGGTCCACAGTTTCCTTCAGAATAAAGCAAGGGCAGGTGTCTGCAGGGGAGGACTGCAAACACAGCTTCCAGCACCAACATTCTATCAATTGTGGGCCCGAAAATAAGAGACAGTGTTCTTGCCCTTAGGGAATTTAAAGGCTTCCTGAGGAGATGAGGCATATAAACAGAATATGAAAACAAATATAAAGTAATGTATCAGCAAGAACTAAATGACATACCAGGGAGGGGGGGGGCCTGTATGGCCATGATAAAGGTGGTGTTCCAAACACTTTCTATGCACTGCACTTTCCTGATTTTTAGAATACCATCATTTTCATCACATATGTTCCTACTCTCCCCCCACCCCACAATATTTTGAAAATATTTCAAACTTACCACAAAGATGAAAGAAGTTTAGAGTGGGCACCTGCATAGCCACCACTTAGATTCTACTACTAACATTCCACTACTATGCTTGCTTTATGACACATCCGTCCATCACATACCTATCCATCTAGCCACGTATCAATACATTTTTGCTGCATTTCAAAGCAAGTTGCAGACACCTGTTTCCTGCCTTTTAATAAATAGAAGCATTCATTCGTAGCACACATTATTGAAGGTCTAGTCTGTGCTGGGCATCATTTCATACGTATGGACTGGAGGAGTCCCTTTTTAAAAAGGGAATATTCAAGGGAACCATTCTTTCATAAAGCAAAAGCTTTCAGAGATGCATGTTTTCTTGCTGGGTTTGTTTGCCAAAGAGACATGGGATAAATCGATATGTGCTGGAGATCAATCTTGGGAGGCTTCGGGAAAAGAAGAACTTAGCCAGTTCTGAAGGGTAAAAGAGGCATGGCTCACTCTTGCCTTGAGGCCTTGTGTGCTGTTCCCTCTGCTAGGAATAGTCTCCATGTTTCCCACTTTTAAAGAATTAATATATAGTTGACCATTTGCAACAACATGGATGGACCTCGAGGGTCTCATGCTAAGTGAAATAAGGCAAACAGAGAAAGACAAATAGTGTACGATTTCACTATATGTGGAAGCTAAAAAGGAAAACAAATGAACCGACAAAACAGAAATACACATAGATACAGAGAACACACTGATGGTTGCCAAAGGGAAAAGGGAGAGACGGATAGGTGAAAAAGGTGAAGAGGAATCAGAGGTATACACCTCCATGTCCCTTTTGTCCCCCCATGTTGGCTCCTCCTCACTTTTCAGGTCTCAGTTACCTGGACCACCCAATTTGAACAAAGGGCCACCTTTGGTATTCTTTCTCAAGGCACACTGATGTTTTTTTCTTCATAGTGCTTATGACAATTTGTAGGTATAGATTTACTTGTTTCATATCCATTTCCTTCCTAGACTAAGAAGTCCAAGAGGAGAGTTCGAGGCCAGGCACAAATGGCTGGCAACTAGGATAGGGACAGGCACTGGAATATGTGTGAGCATGGAGGAGGCACCTGGCACAGATAGGTGGAGCCAGGATAGGGAGTGACAAAGACAGGAGGGGTCAGTTTCTGCAGATGTGGAAGAACCGGGAGAGGAGCTTGGGTGGGACCCTCACAGCCATCTTTATTAGGTGCTTACTATGTCCGTGCTAAGCACTTACGGACATGATTCATTCCATCTCCACAACCTCCCCATGAGGCAGGTACCATGATTATCTCCCTTTTGATGGAGCTGAGGCTCAGAGAAGGGAGAGAGTCGCCTGAGGCCACCCTGCTCGTAAGGGGTGACGGTTGGGCTCTATTCAGGGGCACCGATGATCTCTGTTGGTGAGGTGGCATGTTCCCCTGGGACGCTTGGAGAGTGGGCTGCTTCAAAATAAGTTCTCTTTAAAAACCAAGTTTCTGCATTTGGCCCCTTCAGGAGATGTGTGTGTATGTCTGAAAATTAAACACCTGCTGAGAAAGCATTCCAACAACATTCACATGCCCAACACTAGCAAGAACCTATATTGAGTGCTCCCGTGTGCCAGGCACTGCTCTAAGCTCTTTGCACGATTACCTCATTTAATCCTCACATTCATTCCTCTTACAGATGAGGAAGATGCTGTACTTATGGGTTGAGATCATGGCTAGTAAGTGGTGGAGCTAGGATTTCAACCTAGACTCTGGGATAGGCACGGTGGACGAGGTGAGCCAGCACATGTCAGTTGGAGGCCCAGGACCCCATAGGAGGGAGGGAGCAGAGACACTGCCCAGATCCAAGGCCTCATTTCTCCTCTGTACTTGAGTCCAGCCTCCAGCCTCCCTGCCCCCTAAGCCTCCTCCCTGATCTCTGTACTCCCCGCTCCCTGCAACAGTCTGTTCCCCAGAGGAACCCTGTGAGCCCCTGAGTCAGATCACAGCCTTCCTCAGCTCAAAGCCCTTAAAAGTCAAAGCCTTCACAGTGGTTACCTCTCTGACCTCAAGTCCTCCCATTTCTCCCCTGCTCCAGCCTCAGGGCCTTTGCACTACCATTTCCTTGCTTGGAATACTCTACCCCCAGATGTCCTCATGGCTGACTCTCTCACTTCCTTTGGGTCGCAGTTCATAGGTCACATCTCCAAGAGCCCTTTCCAGACCATCCTATTTCAAATACCCCCGCTATCTTCTCTATTTCCTCACCCCTCACCTGATATGTTTATTGTCCAATTTCCCCCACAATAAATGTGAGCTCCCCAAGGGGACAGGTCTTGATGATCTTGTTCCGTGCAGTATCCTCAATGCCTAGAACAGGTGTGGCACAGAGTAGGTACTCAATAAATATCTGTTGAATGAATAAAGTAGTGGATTAGAGAGAAAAACTGAAATCAGAGGGTCTAGGACATGATATGGGCATGCCAGATTTGTGGATGCTATTATGTACCAAACAAGGGAGGCATGGTGATGTAGGAGAAAAATTATTTGGAGCCAGACAGACTTGGGCCAAAGTCTGACAACCGCATTTTACCATGATCTTTTCACATACGATCTTGTGTATAACATTTCTAGGCCTCAGTTACCTCATCTGTAAAATGGGAATAACATCTACCCTTTGAGGTTATAGTGAGAATTAAATGAGATCATGCATGTGAAAGCACCCCACCTTCTACTGGGTTCATGACAGGTATTTCATTACTATGCCTTAAGACTTATTTGAGGTAACCCCTCTGGTCTAGAGATGTCTGGGGGCAGTTTTTCCCAGAAGGTAGAACACGGGACTGCTGGTGGTAGGGGAGAATTTAGGTGGTTTGTGAACATGGCTTTAAATAAATGCACCACCCCGTGAGAAACTTACTCTTTTCTCAATTTTCTTTGAAGCTTTCCAATTATGTTAAAGAGGAAGACTCAATTTCTGTGCCGGTGTGCCTTGAACATCTATGTCCCTTGTACCTGCTCCTCTCCCTTTCTAACAAAGAGGATACAGGGACTGCAGCCATCTATAGTGTACTACCATTGTTTGCTTCTCACTATATTTTCTGGTGCTTTCTATTTATGGGCAAGTGATTCCGGCTTTCCACTTCCAGCGGCCATATAAAGTATTCTCTTAAAATATATTAAGAAAGTAAGCAGGCTTAAAGAAAAGTATTAGTAATAGAGAGTGGAGAGGGCAGATGACACGCCATTGTGAAGGTGGTGTCCCAGGAGGGAAGTGTGGGAAAGTGTCTGAGACAGCGAGTGCTCCGTCGTGCCTGTGGCAGTGGGAAGCTACAGGCTCAGGGGCTGGGGTCTCAGCTTTACTCCTGCTCCCCGCCCTCCACAAGGTGGCAGGGCAAAACTCAAACCATTTATGTCCAGAGAAGAAAAGCAGGGGGAGGGCTGAGACAGTGAGATGACAGAAAATGCCCGGAGCCAGGGCTTTGGCTCTACCACACATTTACCATGTCCTCTCTGAGTCCCAGGTTCTCTGTCCCTAAAAGGAGTAATAATAAGACAGATTTCCCAGGGCTGTCTGAGCCTTCAAATGCTCAGTTCAGTGCTGGGCACATAGAAAGCCTTTGATAAACTGGAGCTGCAAGCATTGTTATTATTACCACCACCATTATTATCATCATTAGAGTCAGAGACGGAATAACAGGGAAGTGGGAGCTGCGGAGGACAGACAGGGATTGTGTTTACCTGGTAAGAGGTGTTGAATGTTACAAGTTGGGGTGCGGGTGTTGGGGTGGAGAGAGAGACTGACTGGGAGACGTTGAGAAAGGTAGATGGAAACTGGCCCCTCCTAACTGTGATGAATTGTAGTGATATGAGACAGTGGCAAGTAGGAGGACCTGGGGCTCTTGGGAGTAGAGCAGCAGCCACATTGGCTTAGCAGGGATGAGACCCAGGGAGGATGCCTGAGTTCTAGTCCTGAGCGTGGACCAGGGAGAGCACCATGCTTCTGACCATGGGCTCCTGCTCTTGTACGGACCGCTTCTCTCTTGTCAGTGCTGCTCTGGCCCCGGGGGGAGGCTAAGGGGTGGGTGGGGTGAGCTGATGCAGTCCCAGTCCTCCCAGGAGGCCGTGAACTCACACGTGTCCCCTCCAGAACAGGTAAACAGGACAGGTGCCTGGGTCAGCGGCTCCCTCCCTAGGTCTTTCCCTCCCACTCACTCCCTGGGGGTGGCTGGCCCGCCCAGCTACCCTGCTCCACACCCAGCTTTCTCAGCCAAGAGCCACTAGGATGCTGCTGACACCCTGCTGACCACCCTCAGGATTGTGGCCACTTCCTTCCCAGACGCTGGGGGTCCCCACTGAGGGCCGAGGCTAGACTCACAGCTCCCAGGTTTCTGTGGACTGGAAGGTATGGAAGAGGACGAGAGCCGTCACCTGTAGGCGGCAGTGTGAGAGAGGCGCGAGATGGAAGAGGCAAAGGCCGACTGAAACTGAGAGAAAGACAGGAAAGGGCACCTGCCTCCCATTCTGGTGCCCCTGACTTAGGCTGGCTTACACCTACGGTGGGTCCTGTTCCACTGGGCACCCTACACTTACCCCCTGGCGGGCTCCTGTCTGTGACGCCCCTCTCCTAAGTCCCCTTCACCTGCAGCCTCTAGGAGACACCAACAGCCTATCTCCTCAGATGACCCCCATCCCCGCCCTGTGCCCCAAATTCCTGGGGTTGGGAAATTGAAACACTTTTGCACCCATCTCATTCCATTTCTCTCTCCCTCCCTGATGGACGGCTCTCTCTCTCTGTTTCAACACAGGCTCTCAGACTCACAATTACAGCTCATTACCCTATCGGTCGGTTGGTCGGTGGCTGGCCCTGAGTCACTGGGGGGAGGGACTCGGATGCCCAGCCCTGTCACCTTCTCCCAAGCTACAGTATAAGGAGTAGTGGCAGGGAGGAGGACTCTGGGAAGTCAGGGGAGTCTGGGAAAGGAGAGAGAAGGCTGCAGACCTAGAAGGAGGGAGAGCAAGGGCAGAAGGAAGAAGAGAACAGAGGAGGGCACACAGACGCAGAGAAAAAGAAAGGGCAAAAGAAGGAAACTCGGGTGGGGAAAGACACTCAGGGGAGAGAAGGAGCCGGACAGAGATGAAGTTCCAGGGGTCCCTGGCCTGCCTCCTGCTGGCCCTGTGCCTGGGCAGTGCGGAGGCTGGCCCACTGCTAAGCAGAGGACGGAGTGCTGACGCCGGTGCTGGGGAGGCCATTGGACATGGGGTGGGGGAAGCCCTCGGCGATATAATCGGGGAGGCCGTTGGCCAAGGGGTGGGAGACGCAGTTGGCTCTGGAACCAGGGATGCTGTTGGCCCCTGGGCAGAGGACGCTTTCGGCCATAGAGTTGGGGAGGCCGTCCAGGAGGGGTCTAGGGAAGCAGCCCATGCTCTTGGAAACACTGGGAGTGAGGCTGGCAGACAGGCTGAGAATATCATTCGGCATGGAATAGATGCTGCCCACGGCTCCTGGCAGGGAATGCCTGGCAGCAACGGTGCTTGGGTGAGTGGCTGGAAGGAAGCTGGGTGTGGAAACGGGAGGCTTGTGTGCGGCTGGATCGAGGACCTTGGGAATCGGTTGAAAGGCTGACTGTGGCTGTCTGGGGCAGTTTCCTTCCATGTTATGCACCCTTCCTCCACCACCTTGGGGTCTCTGCCTGTCTCTCCTTATGTCCTGTTCTGGCTCCTCTCTATCTTAGTTGCTCTGCCTTGCCCTCCCCGCATCACAGAGTGAGAAGGTCACGCACACTAAGTGCAGGCATGTTGTCCTTGCAGGGAACCAATGGCCAGCCCCCATCTGGAGGCCACGGCATCCCTGGCTCTCAGGGTGGCCTCGGAGCTCACAGCCAGGGCAATCCTGGAGGTTCAGGCACTCCCTCGGATCATGTATACTCTGGAGGCTCAGGTGGCAGCTTTGGAACCAACTCTCAAGGAAGCTCCTGGGGCCAAGGAGGCAATGGAGGGTCACACAACTTTGGGACCAACCCTCAGGTAAAGTAAGCACCCCAGCCCTGTTCCTGCCACCTCTGTCCCTTCAAGCCCACACTCTCCCATGCCTCCGTTCCTCAGATCCCACACTCAGTCTCACCTTCCCTGCAGGGAGCTGTGGCCCAACCCGGTTATGGCTCAGTGAGGGGCAATGGCAACCCAAATACAGAAGTAAGAGGAACAGGCTGGGGAAGAAGAGGGTGTCTGGGTGTATGTGATAAAAAGTAGGAGAGACAAAGGGGAAACAGAGGTGGGGAGGGCAGGGCTGGAGGTTAGAGGCAGCCTGGCCAGGGAAGAGATGGGCGTGGGGAGGAGGCAAGGAAAGAAATGAGATGGGGGTGGGGAGAAACACCTTGGGAGAGAAAACCAAGCTATAAGAAGCAGGAGAGCCTGGCCTATGGCGACGGCTTTGACTGAAGTCTCAAAGCTCACCTGTCCCCTTCCCTCCGCAGTGCATCAACTCCCTGCCATCTGGCTCAGATGGAAGCTCTAGCAACTCTTGGGTAAGAGGACGGGGCAACTGGAGGCATTTGGCACAGGGAGAAAACAGAGAAACTCTGCTCCCCTCAGACTGGGCAGGGACTGTGCCCGAGCAAGAGAGGAAGGGAACGAAGGGGAGCAATTTCGGTGTTCTCATCTTTAGTCCTTGCTCTGGTTTCTTCCTGCCCCCCAGGGAAGCAGTGACAGCAGTGGTGGCAGCTACGGCAGCAGCAACGGTGGTGGCGGCAGCTACGGCAGCAGCAACGGTGGTGGCGGCAGCTACGGCAGCAGCCACGGTGGTGGCGGCAGCTACGGCAGCAGCCACGGTGGTGGCGGCAGCTACGGCAGCACCCACGGTGGTGGCGGCAGCAATGGCGGAAGCAGTAGTGGTGGTGGCAGTCACGGCGGCAGCAATGGTGGTGGCAGCAGCGGCGGCAGCAATTCTGGGGGCAACTGGGTGAGTTCCACTCGTTTGTTGAAGGCAGTGTTGGGGCTGAGACCCCTGGTGGTCCCTGCAGAGGAGACGTCCTCCAAGGTCTTCCTGAAAGCTGCCAGCCCCTGGGGTGGGTGGCATCACTGGCACTTATCATCCTGTGGCTCTGTCAGCCTCTGTTCCCCACCTTCCCAGCCCCCCCCCCCCAGCAGGGTTCCTTACACACGCACTCCAGTTCTTCCAGAAGAGGTGCGGAGCTGACTCCTGCTCACTCTATTCTTTATCCTTGCCCCATGATGGTGAGGCTATTCCATCTCCTGTCTAAGCCCCATTCCTGCAGTTGTGTCCACTTGGCAAATCTGACTAGAGCTGGAGGGTGACAGATAGAAGAGAGGTGGGCACAGAACAACATGACGCTGGTTAGGGAAGCTCCCAGGAGAATGGGGGCAAGTCTCCACGCATGTGGAGACTCACGAATATTTACAGAGCTGTGGTGTAGATGAACTAACAAATACGGTACACATGCCACTCCTCCATGATGGGTGAGAGGCCAGGAGGGGACCACAACCTGGCAGCTGGATTAGGGGGGGAATTCCAAGAGGGCGGCCTGCGGAGAGAAAACGCTGCTGCTTCCTTAGGAGGTCTGGGAAAGGTGTCAGGCAGGAGGAAGGAAGCAATTAGAACAAGCCAGATAACATAAGCTGCCTTAATTTACTGCTCCTTGTACTACCCGCTTTTCCCCCATCTAAGAGCGACCCTTAGAGAATTCTAATAATTTTGAGGCCTGCTGAGTGGCTCAGTTGGTTAAGAGCTCACTCAAGAGTGTGAGCTCTGAGCAACAGCCGTTTGAGTCCTGGCCCAAGCTGAGCTGCACCTGAGCCTCCAACAGGTGGCAGGATGGCTCAGCTCAAAAAAAGAAAATTCTAATAATTTTGATCAAAGCAGATACTCATGCTCCCAGGTAGAGACTCTAGGGGCCCCTTCCTCTTTCTAAGTTCCAGGCAGGAGCAAGGCAGAATGAGCCCCAGCCTGCCATCAGGACCCAGCCAGGGTCATGGCTTTTGTGATGTTAGGCTCCAGAGGCCTTTCCACCCCTGGCATGTGGTGGTGGTGGTGGTGGTGGGGGGTGGTAGAGAGCAACAGCTCAGAATCCCAAATTATCCCACATTTCCAAATACACTTGGCCACACCTGAACTTCTCCATGCTGCAAATAACTTCCCTCAGTGACCGATTGGCTAAACGGGAAGGTATGGAGGTTGGGGAGAGGGAATTAAAAATACATAACATGGCTAGGAGCTATTTGGTCTCTTCCAAGTCCTTTTAAGACACCAGATGGACACTTGCTTTCCCTCGTAGGACTCCAATACCGGCTCTTCCTCAGGTGGCAGAGGTGGAAGTGGATATAAACCTGAGGTGAGTGTCTGCTGTTCACACCTCTGCAGATCTCCCTCAAACTGGGGGAAGGAACATAAGCCCCTCAGATGACGGGAGGGCGACAGCTGGGGCTGAGAATGGGGGTGGACTGCTGCTGAGGTGGGGAGGATGTGGGCTAGCCTCGGGGTCAAATTCCAGCCATTTGAGGGCTGGAATTGGTGTCTGGGTGGGGACTGAGAGGAAGTCTTCTCTTTCTCTCTCCCACAGTGTGACAATTCAGGGAACGAAGTCCGAATGTCTGGAGGATCTGAGGGTCAGGTGAGAGCCAAACCTGCGGTAACTAGGGGTCATCACTCAGCTGAGCCCGCTCCTCGCAACTCAACTCTGCTCAGCCCCACTCCTATCGCCAACCTCCACCCCAACCCTGTCTGTGGGGAATTTACAATTTAGGGGGAGAAACCAAGTGCATAAAATTACTGACAAGCTCCAAAGTAATAATTAATTGCAAATTCTTATGTGATATACCCCACGTGGGGCTGTGAAAAATCGTATGAAAACCAGTCCTTTAGAAACTAATCCTTTCAAATGTCCTATGCCTGGCCAGCGAACAGAATTCGGTGACCCCTTTGGCAGAGTTTTGAAATGGTGTTTTAAAAGCAAACATTCCTCTCCTAGTTATTCTGGAAATTTGGCCTTTCTGTCAGCACCTGCAGCGCTGACAGAGGAAGTGTTCAGCTAATGTCCACACAATCACCTAGAGGTCTTGTGAAAACCTCTTTTGAGGCTCTGATTCAGCAGCTCTGGGGTGGGGCTGAGATTCTGGTTTCTAACAAGCTCTGGGTGAGGCTGTCTCTGCCACTGCCGCTCTGTACCCTGGTGTGCGTGTGGCCCTCATGGCCAGAAGCATGGTGCTGCGTTGGCAAGGCTCTCTGAACAGCTCCTTAAATATTGGGGATACTAGTTTTTTATGGGTTGACAGGTTTTAAGAAAACTTCTCCCAGTTTGTAACTCTATTTCTATTTCTTTACACACTGAAATCTTTTTCTCTACGGTTTCTGCTCTTGAAAATAAAGGTCTTTATTTTCTTCTAGCACTACTAATACTTCTGTCATTTGATTTTTGAATTCTTTACTCCATCTGGGCTTTATTTTGCTGTATGCTGTCTAATTCCACTCCTCGATTCAACTAGGCAGACCCTACACTTTGGATCATATCTGGGTGCTCCCTTACAAGGGGAAAACCAGATAAAAACAGAAGGGAGGAAACGGATAAGGGATAGCTAAGTTTTTCACCCCAAAACTTAACTTGTATTCCCAGCCTTGTGTATTGAATCATTTCTACCACTGGTTTAAAATGTCACTTATAAATACCATAATATTTGGGGAGAACTTCTGGAAGTTCTGTTTTGTTAAATCAATCCATCTATTCTGGGTCAGGAACCACACTGCTTTATTTATGGAAGCTTTACAGTACATTAATATCTGCCAGTACAAGTCCTCCCTTGCTGCTTATCCTTTCCAGTGCTTTCTTACCTATTCTTAGACATTTATTCTTCTAAACGAACTTCGAGATGACTCTGACTAGTTCCAAAAGAGAATTCCATTAGGATTTTAAGAGGAATCGTATGAAATCATTTGTAAATTTGCAGGGATGGACCTAGGATCTAAAACAATGATCTGTGTTTCACTGTCTCGTCCCTCAGGGCTTCCGAGGAGGACCGGAAGGTCCCAGAGGCTTTGGTGACATCAGGGTAAGGAGACCATAGGCTTTGAGAGGAGTAGGAGCTGTGGCAGCGTTAGTGGGATGGAGATCAGCCCTCCAGCCACGATACTGACAGAGCAGATAGTCCCACATCTTGGCCTGGTCTAGATTTTAGCTCTGGGAATGAGGAGGTGCTGATGGGCCTGGGTTTCACACCAAACAGTGAAAGCAGGACTCACGAGGAGGCTGGCATAACGTAGGAGGAGACGAGGCAGTTTACTGTGGTGCCACTTCAGCTCCCACTGACTCTGCAGCTAGTGACACCTTTCTGACTGATGCAAAACATCAGCCCACACTGGGCCCTGCAGTGTGAATCAGTTCAGTCCAACGGCCTGGCTGGCTCCTGCCCCAATACCAGGGGAGAATTCAGGGACTTTGGTGGCAAAGGCAGTTCCGATTGGATTTGGGGCAGCTTGCAGATATGAATAGAAACAGAGATGGTTACAGAGCCAATGAGCATTGTACGTAGGCAACAGCCTGATCCACAAGGGGGTGAAACAAGATTTGCCAGAGAAGACGAAGCCACCCGGAGAAAAGGACCTCTCTTGGGGTCCTGGGTAGTCCTCGGTCATGCTCACGTCTCAGTCCCCTGATTCAGGAATCCCTTGCTTATTACCTGCTATCCTGCCCTCTCATTCTGCATTCCGCCTGCCTCCCCGCCAACTCTTCTCCACTTTCTCTCTCCTCAGGAAATAAGCAAGGAGGGCAGTCGCTTTGTTGGGGGCTCCCAAGGCAATTATCAGGTAAGCAGGGATGACTTTAGGAGACGGGATGGTGGGGTGTGGGGATAGAATGCCGAAGGCCTGGGAAAAGAAATAGAAATATCAGTTTTTTCTTGGAAGCTGCTCCGAATCTGTGTCGAGAGGCCAAATGGGGGTCCGGGGTCCCCATCACCCTCCTCAATTCATCCATTCTCTCCCTCCTTCCACCTGCAACCATAGCTGTATTACTTCTGTGAGGGAAAAAGCAGACAAGAATAACAGAAGAATGCCTGGGGGATAGTTTGTAGAACCGTACTTAAGAAGGCAGTGTTGGGAAGTGGAAAGGCAGTGAACGTTGAGGTAGGGATGGGATTAAATGCCAGCTGGATCACTTGTCACCTGTGTGTCTTCAGGCAAGTCTGTTGACCTCTCTGAGCCTGGAATTCCTCTTGGGTAAAACGGGGAGCAAAGCCTAATTTGCTCAGCCCCCCGTTACTGCAGAGCTTTCTCCATCATAATAAGACCAGGGTGGTTCAGGGTGCAGACCCTGGCGTCCGACATGGAGACAGATCCTGAGGCAAGTGTCAGTTTCTTCATCTGTAAAATGGAGTGTGGCAGGATGAGGCACAGTGCTTGGCGCAGTGTGACTAGTATTAGGGGGTGCATAGGGTTATTCTAGGGAGCAAGTAAGAAGTCATTCCAGGAAGGCTCTCTGGACGTGAAGTTCTTAGGTGCCGTATAAGAAGAGAGGTGGCTTTACAGACAGTACATGGCACTTGAGCAAAGGCAGAGAGGAGTGGGCCAGGAGCAGGCTGACAAGTGCCATGCGTGACGCAATGCATAAACCTGGAACGTCAGTTCCCCTTTTACCCACCCAGGGGCAATGGTCCAGTGGGGAAGGTGAAGCAGTCGGTGGAATCAATAACTTGGTGAGTGGTGGCATCACCCCACCTTGGGTCAGGACCCCCCTAGCATCAGCAACTCCCACCCCTGCCTCTTGCTCACAAAGCGGGCTCTTACTGTCATCCCATTTCTCATTGGTTCCCTAGAACTCTGAGACATCTCCTGGGCTCTTGAACTTTGAGAATTTCTGGAAGGTGAGTTGGGCAAGGCTGTTGTGCTCATTCTCTTTGGGGAAACCAAACCCCGGTCCCTTGGGCCCCCCAGGATGAAGTTGTCTTTCTACCACAACCGTCAGCAGTGGCCTTAGACCTCTCTCATCCTGAGGCCCTGAGCCAACTCCATTATGACCCCATTTGGCCATTCTCCTTTTTTTTCTCTGCAGAACTTGAAATCCAAGCTGGGTTTCATTAACTGGGATGCCATAAACAAGGTAAGGGCTGGAAGGCCACGCCGTTTGATCTTTGTGGGGGAGGGATGTAGAGAAGAAAGTGAAACCGCTGCGTGGTGAGCCAGGAAGATGATGACGTTGGCACGAAGAGCATTTCAGCCAGTGCTAAAAAAAAATAAAATAAAATAAAAGGCAAAAACAGGAGGAAGGACAGCAGAGATCCGAAAAGAGAGGGAGCATTTGGAAATAGCTGGGAGCTGGGGATCAGGAAGGAGTGGGCCTCTTTCATGTCTTAATATGCAGACCTGAACAGGTGTGGGCCTTGGTCTCCCCTTCGAGACTTGGAGGTTAATGGGAGAGTAAGCAGGCGTAATCCTCAGGAAACCAGGGAGAGCAGAGACCAGGGTAGGGGATGGAGAGAATAGTCAGGTGGAGCTAAAAGGCCACGTAAGGACTGACATGGGAAGAGAAGGGAAGAGGAAGCGAGTATCTGCTGAGTACCTGCTGGGTGCCCTGTACATACATAATCTTAGGAGACACTTGGGGCCCAGACCCCTTTCTCCTTCCTCCAAGTGCACCTCGTCCTCTTTCAGGGGAACCCCTGGCCAGGCTGAAGTGACCCCAGAATAATAGAGGGAGTGGACTGAAAGGAGGAGATGAGGGCAGACAAACAGTCCAAACCAATAGCAAAGGGAGAAGCTGCAGTTGGCAGCCCACTGATGGGTTTTGTTGGATCCATTTTGAAAAAAATATGAATTAGTTGTCAAAGTTTGAAAATTGAGAGACTTCATAAAATGACTTGGGTTCTGACTTCTCTCGAAAAATTTGGCAACACTGGGCTCCTTTCCACGGGCTACAATAAACTAGAGCTGCTTCCTGCCAGGCGGGCTGCTCTCTGGCAGCCAAACTCCCCCTGCCAGTCATTCTAGCCACCCAACTGGCCGCTGTGAGCAACTGAGTTTCTAAGCCTTAACTTACAAGAATGAAGATTAGGATCCTGCCCTCCTAAACTTGCAGGGGTGGTGGTAGGGGAGGCAAACAGGTAGGCCAACCTCAGGAAGCCTACCCTTTGGGAATAAGTGAGGAACGGAAGATAGGAGATACAGATGTTTCCAGCTGCAGCGCAGTTCTAGTTTGACTGAACTAAATGAACAAAACAGCCTGTTTCTGTTTTAGAGAGAATAGTCTCTGGGAGGGGCAAGGCTCCGTACCGTGAACCATGGGGAGACCAGGCCCCTGAGCACTTCAGGTCTGATGGGAGAACCAGGGCACATACACACACTTCCTAAAGGGCCAGGACAGGCAGCCAAGTGTTTCTGCACATCCAGAGGGGCAGGAAAGCAAGTGCTTGAGGTTAAGGAGGATTCATTTGGGGCAGCTTCTTGGAGGAGCAGGTCTCGGAAGAGGGGAAGAGAAGAGAATGGAGAGCTCCAGCTCCTTTACAGCGGGGATTGAGGGGGCTGAGGACTTCCTCTACAGCGAGGAGTGAACACTGGGGGACACACATAGCTTTCCTGGCAAGGTACAGGGGTTTTCAAGGCCAAGCTGGAATATTTGGATTTGACTGGATGACAGCCATGTGCAAAAAAGGTCCCTGTAGATTTCTGGCGCAGGGGTCCAATCTACCCTGGGGAGTACCCATAACTCCCTGAAGCCCTATTCCTTGAGCTTCCTCTTAGAGCCTATTTCTTTGCCCAGGACGAGAGGAGCTTTCACGACCCGTGACCTCCAGATAAGGAGCTACCAGATGGATGGGAGCCCCCCCCCCAACCCCTTCTTAAAACCACACTATCTCACCACTAATATCAACCCTTGCCCTTGAAATAAACCTTAGCTGCCCCACAATCCTGGTCTCTTCTCCTTTCTTAAGTCTCCACTATCATTCCAGGGGGGCTTAGAAGGGGTGACTTTAGCCCCACAGCTTTGGGAACTGGGCTGGAGGTGGCATGGCAGGTGAAAAGGCAGGGAGCTCTGCAGGTAGGCTCTGGTCCTGAGGTTTTGCTAGAGGCTGGGGAAACGGGATAGAGAAAAACGCTGTGTGTGTGCGGAGGACAGGGAGGATGGTTAATGGCTCCAGAGGTCTAGTGTTTCTCTTCCTCTGCTTTCAAAACTAGTTTCTGGTCCGTAAAGACAGCCAGCGTCCCCCCAAACCTTGGTCACAGTGCAATTCTGAAACTGAGAAATGGTGGGAGTGAGAGTAGGGGCTGAGGTGAGCAGGGGTTCGGGCTCCCTGCTAACCTGCTCCCCACCTTCCATCCACAGGGTCAAATCCCAGCCCCCAGCACTCGAGCCCTGCTCTACTTCAGCCGACTCTGGGAGGTAGGACAATTCTTACTTTCTTGAAGAACTGGGGATCCTGGTCATCCTGTCCCTCTTCCCACCTCCCTCAAGGCAGCCGCCCCAGCTCCAGCCTACCTGTCACAGATCCCTCCTTTTCATTTTTGAGATGGGTAGTGTCACTCAAATCTTATCACCAATACCATCAGAAATTCCAACACCCTTAGTCTCCTATATGCTTATGTTTATCTAACCCCAACCCACACCCAGGCTCCAAAACCCATTCTTGCACATGGTGTTGAAACTTTTCCAGTGAGCTGCCACACTCCACCCCTCTAAATTCTGTCTCCCTGTGGCCCACTCATCTCTCCTTCTCCCTCCAGGATTTCAAACACAACACTCCTTTCTTGAACTGGAAAGCAATTATTGAGGTAAGGGCTTCAGAACCCCTCGTTTTGGGGTCGGGGAGCTGAACTCTGGGGACATGGGGTTCTGGGCCCTTGGCAATGGCTTGCAGATTCTGTCCCAGTTCCTCATCCTGTCTGCTGAGGGAGGGCTGCCTCCCTCACTTTCTACTTCCCTCCCTTTATGCTGAGTTGGGGTGGGGTAGGTGAGTGAAGTGCTGAGTCACTAAAGAAGGAGCAGGGTGGCAGGTCCTCCCTGGGATAAAAGCCCAGGCTGAGGGTTGGGGCCCTCACAGGCACGGGAACATGAAGCTGGCCACCGTGGGCTCTGCTGCTGCTCCTGCTGGGGTAGCCAAAGCTGCGGGGTGAGCAGGTGGTGGGGACCACGAGGTGGGGAAGAGGGAGGGACCTCAGAACTGGACAGGGGGCATTGGGGAGGAAAGCTGAAGGGAAACAGGAGGGGTGGCAGGGAGATGTCAGGCCATCTCAAGTGCAGGTGGAGAGGGTCTGAATATCTGGGTTCTGGGAAGGATGGATGCACAGGACCTCTGGGTCTTCCAGCAAGCCACACCTCGATTCTGCATGGCCAGTGGCCTTTGGGGATCAGGGCCCTTAGGCACTGAGGCAAGAGTTGCCCACTCACCCCTCCATGTGGGCCAGGCACCTGAGGCTGGACAGGGGTGGGGGTGGGGGTGGGGGGGCATTCAAAGTTGGAGGTCAAAGCCTCTCTGCTGAGTGTGGTCATGCACTCACGTAGCACCAGGATGGCGATGTCGCCTGATTCTTCAAGAAGAGTTAGAAATCTGATTCTTCATTGCTCACAACTAATTTAATTAAAAAATCCAGACCAAACAAAAAGTCTCTGGAGGCCTGTGGTCAATGAGTTTGTGATCTCGGTGTGAGGTCTAATAGTGGAGTTAAAATCAATGTCAGGTGCGGATAAGGTGGAGCGTTAAGTCAGAGTTAGGAAGAACATCCTAACTGTGTGTTGTGTGTGTGTTAGTGGTGGTGGTGGTGATAGGGTTCCCAGCAGAGAAGTGATCATGGCAGGAACTAAACTCCTCTCCTACTGCTTAGAAATTTCCCCTTGCTTCCATCAGGGAAGGGGAGGTGGCAAGTGTAGCTCTGGTGTGTCTTAAGTGGCTTCGCCTGCTTTCTTGTATGTCTCGCCTTGCTTTCTCTTTGTCCCAGAGCTAACGTAATACGCTTCACTTTGCCTCTGTGGATAACGGCCCACCCTTCCAAGGACCCTGTAGAGAACAGTGTTTGTGAACAGGGATAAAAGGGCCTACGAGGGGAGCAGGGTTTGGCGTCAGCAAAAAGTGGGCTGGGGCGGAGAGGCCTGGGTCCAGCCCAGGAGAGCCTGTGTGGGTACCACTCGATTGTCATTCCAGCTCAGTTTCGGGCCGGCCTGCCAACACTCCAGGTGTCTGGGTGGGGGAGGTGTTGTCCAAGCCAGTTCTCTACCCTTGCTCCCCAACACCGAGTGTAGAAATCTGTCCTGTATCTATTTGGGCCATCGGTTTCCTTCAGGCTCACTGCCTCCTCTGTAGGTAGTACTTATCATGGACCACTGAGAGGGGCGGGGTGGCTAGGTGGGATGCTGGAGTTCCAAAAAGAGGGCGGAGCCTAAGCAGCAGGATGTTGGAGTCCCACAAGTCCAGCAAGGCCTGAAGGACCACGGAGACACCCTAACTGGGGCTCCCCTCTTCCTTACAGAACCCCAATGAGTCATCACTCCAGAAGAGGGCAGGCAGTGCTGGTCAGGTAAGTCTTTCCCCTTAGACTGATGTTGGAGGTCCTTGGTCCCTCTCAGTCTAATTCCAGGGTTTGGCCAATCCGAAATTCCCCTCCTTCACTCCCCCATTGTGTAATTTTTTTCAGCCTGATGCAGGATGGCAAGAGGTGGCAGCTGTAACCTCTAAGGTAAGATATCTGCGTTGTGACCACTTGGTTTAGACCTCGCTTCTTTCTTTGGTCTCCTTCTCTCACCGCCCAAGTAACACTTGAGGAGTTGGGAGAGGTAATAAGGGAAGGAGGTAGGGCCATTTGAGCTAGGAGCATAAAGTGAGGTGAGGGATGGGCTCTGGCTGGCTAAAGGAGGGGAGAAGGCAGGGGCTTTGTGAAAGGTCCAGCCAGGGCAGGGAGGTGGGGTGTTTATTCCAGAGCAAAATGCCTTCATGCCTTCTGTCCTGCCCCGTCCCTCCCCCCACCCATTACCCACCACCCCTTTGCTTTCTTCCACAGAGTTATAACCAGCAGGCATATCCTACTGCCTCTGGCGGGCAGTACTCAGCCAAGATCCCCCCTAAGGTAAGACTTGCAAGTGCCCTGTTTTCCCCTTGGGGGTCTCTGCTTGGGGGTGACGGAAGGAGGCTTTCGCTGCTAGGTTCCTCTGTGTGGGTTTGCTGAAATCAAATCCTGTTCACTTTGAAAGTCGTGTCTCTCTACCCTTTTCAGGGAGACTCGGGCTCTCTGAGAGCTGTTTGGAAGTGGAGGGTAGAGGGTCCAATGTTTTTCACATCCATCCACTCAGACAATGTTACAAAGGTGCAGTGGCTGTGTCCCATACACCATGGAGAAAACTGGGAACCTATATCCTCTCAAAGAGAAATATATGCTCAAAAACAAAAAAAAACAAAACCACATGACACATGGCAGAACAAACAGCCTTCCTTTGTAGTGTCTGCATTCTACCTCTTTAACTGCTGACCTCTTGCGGGGCAGCAGGGATGGGTGAGGAGGAGGAGAGACTAGCACTTAGGGAAGCTAGCCCAGGAACTCTTGGTTGGCGGGAAAATAAATACTTCATTCCACAAAGGAAATAAAAGGAAACACATTTGATAACTTTGTTTCATTCATTTGCAAAGACAGCAATCTTATAAATTCAGTAAATAAATATGCTAAATACTAATTGGGTGAGTGAAGGAAAAAAACAGGTGGCATTTCCCTCCACCTCTTAGAACAATAAAGCCCTGCCCTGGGGACAGGCCTTCCACTGAGAGATCAGAAACTGCTGACTGAGAGGAGGTGAACAGGCAGTTCACACTGCCTGTGGGTATCTGCTTCGCCAATTATTTGTGGCCAGTTTCCATCCATCTTACAGGCAGAGGGAGACCTACCCATTCTCTTTTACTCCCTTTGGGCAGAGTGTGCTCAGGGACCACATTCAGTATCATCTGGGGCAAAATGTACTTAGGGTGATAAATCTACTATGGAAAGAATTCCATGGGCTGAATGTCCACCGCCAGACCAAAGGACCTTTGAGATAATCCTGGTCTGAGCCTGCCCTTGTCACAGGGCCCTTCCTGAGCCGTGACGACATGGCAGAGTACAGAGAGGTCACTTTAGCCCCCACATCACCCCCTCTGATCCTCTCTTTACAGGGGGGAGTCTCGCTCTCTTCCTCGGTAAGTATTGAGGCCAAGAAAATCTGGCTTGTGAGAGAAGGGGTCTAAGGCCAGAGGGTGTGCAGGGGACAGTGCAATGTCCACTCAAACATTCTCCTTGTCCTGCAGGCTTCCCGGGCGCAACCTGGCCTGTTGGAGTGGGCGAAGTTTTGGTAGGTGAGTATCAGAGGGAGCCAGGCATGGCTGCTCCGGGAGCTGAGGCACTGTCTCCAGGGGGGCAGGGCTGGGATTGGCATTTCCTTTGCTCTGGGTAGATGCTCTAAAGGTAACTGAGGAGGAAAGCCCAGTGTGGGGTGTGGAGAAAAACTCGTAAGAAATGACCTACTCAGAAAACAGCCTCTGAGTGCTGAGTGAAGGCCTGACGGAGGTGGGACCATGCAGGGACATATATGAGAAGAAGAATGACACACTAGGTTAATGAGGGGAAGTGAGATAGGACTTGTGTAGGGGGACTGGAGACAGGTGAGTCAGGTGTAAAGGATCAGAGGCAGGAAGAAGAAGTGAGTTGCCAGCGGGGAAGAGGTAATAGGTTAACTTGGCAGGACCATACAATCTGTTTTAAGGGATAGCAAAAGTGAGGGGACAGGCAGGTGAAATAGGTAAGTCACAAAGGAATCATGGGAGCGCAAAATTGGATGAAAGAATAAATGGTTTCAACTGATTTAGGAGTAGCCACATTCTACCCTTTGCTCTTTTCTTTTCTTTTAGAAAATTACTTACAATAATGTCTGAAGCCCTGAAAAACATCAGCTGTCAAGGAACCCGACTGCACCCCTCCCCAGCTCTTCATCTATGCCAGGCCTGGTGTGGGTGCTGACACCTTTTCCTACGTTGGGGACCTGGTTTATCTGTCCCTTGTTGCTTCACAGCCCATGTGGTACCTCCTTGACGACCAGTCTCATTAGAAAACCAGCCACTTTCTTTACTTGCTCCATTTTGAGACCTGAAGTTACTGTGACAATTCTTCAGGAGGAGCTTCCTACTTTTGAGTTTCTCTGTGGAAATAAAACAAGTTTCCCTAAGACTTCCTCCAAGTTTATTCTTTAATACTAAACCGACGGCCTGGATCAGAGAGGATAGAAGAGTGATTCAGGGGCAGATGATCTGCCTTCCTCCTGAGAGTGGTATACAAAATGGTGGTCCGAGGCAGATGGGCCTGGGCAGTCCTGACAAGAAGTAGCGAGCTGATGTCACTTGGGCCTCTCAGTTCCTCCATCTGTGAAAAGTGATCTTTGCCCAACCTACCTCTGAATACCATGCTTACTGCCCTTGAAGCAGCCTTAGGTATTTTGCTAGTCTGAAAATGCAACGAGGGAGGGAGCTATTCAAATCAGAAGGTGGGAGTAGAGAGGTTTCTTGTTCCAAGAAAGGAGACCTGTCCCAGATGGGCAGGGAGAGGGCAGAGAATACACCGCGGCCTCGTAAATGCACTGCAGGGTGGGTGAGGAGACAGCGGGGTTGACGTAGGAAGTTGGGGGGAGCGGCTCCTATCGGGTACCTTATCACAGGCAGTGGCCCTGGGTCTCCAGGGTGCAGAGGACAGCGGAACACTTCTACTCCAGTAATGTGCCAGTGAGACAGGCAGAGAGGTTCAGGGCATAGGCTGAGGCCAGGCTTATTAAAAGCCAGGAGTCTTGGGGACAGTTAGAATCTCTGAGCCAAAGTCCCATCAAGGCCACACTGTGTGTCTGAATTAAGGAGTCCCCATCTCTCATCCCAGATATCCCTGCAGGGACCCAGGAACTAAAAGGAGGACGTGAAGCACCCAGCCAGCCTAAGTGGCTCTCTCCAAGATTGCAAGTTTCCTGAGGGCACGGCCCGTCTGCCCTGGTCACTGCTCCAACCCCAGTGCTTAGCACAAGGTCTTGGTACAGGGTAGGGTAGGCCTCAAATAGCTGATGAATAAATGAAAGAAAATGGGCCCAAAATGAACTTGGGGAAACCTATCTGAAGAAAGCCACCTGACTGGGAGAAAGAGGACGACTCCATCCTGTTCTCACTTACTCCTATGTCCCCGAATTGGGGCTACTGCTTTGCGTTTATCTTGGGTTGCAACTGTGTGGGAGGGCCTTGCACTACCTCCTTGCCGCCACAGGGGGCGAACACAGCTGTCCAAGGGCGGACAGTCCTTTCGGCTGACTGACAGCTAGCTTCCTGCATGCTGTGTGGGTTAGGTTTCAGAAATAGCTGGAACTCAGGTCTCCTCCAGCCAGTCCCTGAGGGATTGAAGGAGAAACTGAGATGGTGAACATGGTTCTGGACTGTCGGGGCATTCCTGGTCCTAAAGGGCTGAAAGCAGCCCTTTAAAGTTTAAAGTACCACCTGAAGGAAGCTAAGGCCCTTTTGGGGTAAAAGACTCTAATAGAAGGGCAGGCCACCCCTTTCTCCTGCCTGAACTTCTGAAGCAGCTTCTCGACATCCTTTCATTCCCCCCCCCCCCCCCCCCCCCGGCTAAAATCCATTCTCCCATGACAGCCAAGGAGAATCCCTTGCTCAGAATCCTCCTGAAGCTTTTCACTAGCTCTGGAATCAAACCTCAACTGCCCAAGGCTCAGGGTGATCTGGCTCTGGCCTCCTTCTCCAATGTCATCCCAGACCTGCTGGGAAAGGCCCTCAGACACACTGCCGCTACCTGCCCCTGGAACCCAAGATCTTCAGAAGTTTGGAGCTTTAACTGCTTTTGCTCTAAATTCAAATGTCCCTCCCCAAGCCAGTTTAGCCAAGGGTACCTGCGCAATCACGATCACATCACCCTAGTTTAACTTCTTCACAGAACTTGTCATTCTCTGAAATGATCTTGTTTCCTATTTTTGACTTTTTGGGTTAGATTATGATGTTTTCTCCACCAGAACATAAGCTCCACAGGATAGGTACCAGTTTCCAGCACCAAGAGCCAACGTATCTGTTCAATAAATATTTGTGAATTAGAGAGTGGAAGGAGGGATCAGACTTAACTGGGATCAGCCCAGGAAGTCTTCCTGGTAGGAGTTTAAGCAAAAGGTACACAGGGACAGGGAGTGGGAAGCAAAGGGGAGACCAGACCTGCTGGGCAATGTAGCTGTTTCCTTGGGTGTGATAATAACACCAGCAGAGGGAGGAAAGGATGGGCTAGGGATGCCCTGAGCTCTGCCTCCCAATACCCCACATACCCCAATATCCCAATACCCCACACCCTGGCCCCCTTTCTCTCTCCAAGGCTTGTCACCTACGTATTCATCTAGGTCCCAGGCCCCAGTGTGCATCCCTTTAAGTCCCCCGTTCCCTCCATGAACCCAGGAGGCTGGCTCCCAGCCCCTAGGTGTGTCTGTAATGTGGTAATCAGGGCCGGGCCTCGTCTCCTACCCACACTCAAGTTCTGGCAGATCTGGGGTGGGGTGGGAGCAGGCCAGTGGGAAAACAGGGGTTTGCTGGTATGCTCAGAGAGGGAACTAGGAGACCAACCAGACTTGGAGATGAAATGACGCAGAGCCAGCTCTGTGACTCTACCTGACCCATTAACCTCATGTGATAGACCCAAAGCAATGCCGAATCCCAGGCCAATTCTCCTGCCAGCCATTATCCAAACTGTTGGGACCCTCTCCCAGTGAGAATCCCCCTACCTGCCTGACCATTGGACACTGGACACTCAGGGATCACAAACTCACTGAGGCAGTATAGATAGGGAAAGGAGGAGGAGCTTGGGGATAGACACTCGATTCTAAAGTTAGCACTTACAGCGTAAGTCATGTAAAGCCAAAATTACCCTTGAAAATCCATCAGGAAGGTACCAAATTGAAACAAATCATTTCAGCATAGCCAGCTTTTTCTCCAGCATAAGAACAGAACTTCCTTGGTTGTGCCCATGAAGTAGCTGGCTTGTATTTAGAGGTATTATACCAAAGTGCCTGTTTTTAAACACCAGAACTTTAAACATTACAACTAGGATTAGAAATATCTTTAAGTACATACATGTGGCAAGACGCTCATACGATACGAGGCATCTGGAAACTCAGGCAATTGCAGGTTCATTCTGGGATATACGCTCATTTGTGTCATTACCCTCTTAGCTGTCTGTTTTCATTTTGCCAAGAGTGTACAGTTTAATTGAAATTAATGCACAGATGCTCAGAGCTGCCACCTATGGCTGCACACCACAAAAGGACACCTGGTCAAGGAGGTTCGTGGGGGCTGAATGCAGCCTGCCTCCCAGTTCTCAGGGCATGGGTCTAATTCACACAAGGTGGTCCGTGGGCACGCCAATCCCTTTGTAGGCCACCACTCCACAGTGCAGTAAAGGAGCAATACAGATGGAGGGTCTGGAATCCTAGGGTTTAAACACTGGCCTTGCCAAACACTGGCTGTTTGATCTTGGGTAAATTTCGTACCCTCTGTATGCTGTGAATCCCCTACTTATAGAATGTGGGTAATTATAGTAACTACCTGACAGAATTACTGTGATATTTCAGTGATATCATGCATTTGTAGCACTCAGCACATGGCCTGCCATGTAGTAAGACATCAATAAATTGGCTAACATCATTATTAGCAGCCTTAGTATTAGGTGGAGAGGAAAACAGAGGAGTCAAATTGTTGCCAAGGTACCCTGGAGCCAAACAGATGATAGTGTTTGGATCATCTGGTGCTTTAGATGCCTAAGTGTTCCACCATTAGCATGTCTAATTGGAGTTGATTATACAATATCTGCTCTTCTTTGTCTCTTGTTCCTTCCTTCTGCTCCTGAAGTTGACCCTATGCTGACAGAATGGTGGTTAGAGAGCGCCTTCAGTCACAATTAATTAATTAGTAAGAATTCACTACACATAAAAACTCGTGTCCTCCAGAAAACCCTTTGGGAGGTGCTCCATCCACCTCAGTCATTTTCTCACTTGTCCCCTGCAGTAGCACCAACTGCACATGACATCTACCTTCACAAGGTCATCTGTGCTTAGTGAGTGTCCCTCAAACATCATCTTCTCAGGTAGCTCTGAAAAGGGGCAGATGCCATTATGAAAACAGAGGAGGCTTCCTAAGGCTAAAGAGGGATCGGATGTCAGGACCTGGGATGTGGGAGCAGCATGAGAATTGAACTGAAGTGTCAGCTTCTGGGGTTCATAAAGATTGTTCATGAATGACTATGGCCCTCCCACTGTAGGCCTGTCATCTGCGTGCATTGCATCAGGTTAGGTAGAGGCCCACTCTTAAACTTAAATAAGGTCTTGCTTTGACCTGGCAGCACCGGTTGATGTTCCAGAACCTCCCTATTACACCAGGAACTGGTTGGGCCACCTGAACCTCATTATAGAGACGGTTCCTTGATTAGGATGTTTTGTCACTTTGTGGTGATACAACTCCTAAGCTGGAGGAGTGGAATGGGGGGTGGCTTGGGATAAGCTAGATGAAATGGAGTAGGCATTCAAAGTTCAGGACCCAGATCCCACCTCCAGTTGGTTAGCTCTAAGACCTGTGTTTTTTGTGTGTATGTGTGTGTGTGTTTCTCTATTCCTTGTCTTAGCTCAAAACAGTCATTTTCTCCGAAGACCCAAGAGTAAAAGATGGGCAGTTGGCTAATAACGGGGGCCTAGCCGCAAAGGAGGAAAGTATACAATTTGATGGAAGGATGCTTGAATTTTAACACATCCAATCTAAAAATGTTGGCTCTCCCTGTACTCTGTGTGAGGCATGGTGCTAGGGAGATACAGGGGTGATCAAGGTATAGTTCCTAACCTCAAGGAACTTAATATTCTAAGAAGGAAATAAGAGAAGAACATAGGTTACTCTAGGTGCAATGCCAGAGAGAAACCAATGAATTGATGTGGTCATTCCAAGAAGGGCAAAGTGTGGGGGGGAAAAGGGATGAGAACAATGGGAGAAATCAGGGAAGCTTCATCCAAGATGGATGTTGGGTTCTGAGAACCGGAGATGAGAGAAGGGCATTTCAGCAATAAGGAACAACATAGGCAGGTGCTTGGAGGAGGAAAAAAAAAGTGTATATTTGGTAAGGAGTCCAGTTTGACCAGAATGTGAGATATATGCGAAGAGAGTACAAGAAGAAAACATCAGAAAGGCAGGTTGAGGCCAGAGCATAGATGCCAGCCTAAGGAGTTTAGACAGAACTGGGTAAGGTGGGAAAAGGCCTGAATTATAAGAGAGGAATAAAGGATATAAGGAAAAGAGGCAAAGACAAAAGGAGATGTTGCTTGGGTGCCACTGCCAATCCCTTAGAGGGACAGGTCCAACCTGTCTCCATCCTAGCTCCATTTGCATGAAGAACCCCACTGCCACCTCACCTTCCTAATGCCTAGGGCAGAATGTGAATTGAGAAATCCAAGGTAAGTGGGGAACAGTCCACACTTCCCCTCCCAGAACCCTGGGGGTGGGTGACAGGATCTGGGGGTGAGTCAGTGGGGTGGGGACCCCATTTCTGCTCATATATGCCTCCTCGGGAATATAAAAGGCAAGCAGTGAGGCCCCGCCTCAGAGCACCCCAAACTTGACACCATGAAGATCCCAGTTCTCCCTGCTGTGGTTCTTCTCTCCCTGCTGGCACTCCACTCTGCTCAGGGGGCAGCCCTGGGGAGTTCTGAGGTGAGCACATCACCTGGGTTCTCTTTTTCTTGTACCTCTTCCCTCTCTGACTCTTTTATTTCTTTACCTTCTATCCATTACGGGATAAGTGGTTCTTCTTTGTGAATATTATTAGGGGCTGAATGAGAAGCTGGGGCTCTGAGGAAGGGAAGAAAGGAGGAAGGAAACAAAGTATTCCTGGGAAAACCTGTAGGGATGGAGATGCTTATATTTCTGGAAGGGATGGTGAAGTATGGGGTGGAGGACAACTGAAGCCTGAGAGGAGACAGGGGCTAAGGTTGGTCATCTGGGTGCAGCCTCACCTTTGTTTCATTTGTATCCCTGGGAATGGCTTCCAGGTGACTGGGAGCTCCCTACTATCTCTGGAGACTAGGCCATAGCAAGAATCCTTATGAGCCAGTCTCCAGCCAAGAGGAATCCTGAGGCTTCTCTGTCCCCAACTTATCCCAAGGTGGGGAGAGAACGTGAGTGTTGGATTTAAAAGCCAATGATGGGGTCACAGACTCAACTGCTTAGGATCCAAGCAAGTGATGTCAGTGAGCAAGAGGCCTGGTGGGCCTCAGGGGAGGTGGAGAGAACTTGCCTAATCTAAAAGGGGACAGTCTGTATTCCATCTTACTGCTGCTAGGTGGGAAAATGTATCGGGTATGGCCAGAGTTTTAAATTTTTCAGGAGAAACTGGGAATCTGATTTATAAATTCTTATTGATTAAAAATGTTTAATTCAAATTGAGAAACAAACCAGCCAAACTACTATGAGATCTAAACATTTGGGTCTAGACTGTAGGCTACCTGTTTGTGGCCTCTGTTGTGGGAAGTAAGGAATAAGGGACAAGGAAGCTGGGTAAGGTGGGAGAGTGACAAGATGGGCTGCACTGAGGTCTGGGGGAGTTACCAGATGGAGAAGGGAAACAGAGCCCGAGACTTGGGTGGCAATCAAGTCACAAAGTAAACCAACCTCAACCAATTCAAGGCAGGCAGGACACTCCAGCAGGCTGGCTCCAACCGGCATGCTAATCTCTCCCACCAGTTCTCTGGGCTAAGACTGGGTGTCTCAGGAACACCTAAGTCAACTGCAGAGCAACGCTAACTTGTTTTTCTTGGGAGGAGTCCTCTTTCTCCACCCTTTCCACCTTCTGCCTATGATGGATGCAGGCCTGGGTTTTTAACTTCTCTACCGCACACATGCCCATCTGCTGGAACAGTGTGGGTTAACTGATGCCTCATGGTGGAGAATGGGCCATCTGCTCGGGGGCTGGCCTGTGGAGGAAGGCAGAGCTGGCAGAGAGGGTTTGGAGAGAGGGACTTGCCATCAGGTAATCATTTGACTCCTTTCTCCCCTTCACTTTCCAGGAAGAAAGCACCATTGGTAATTATGCGGCAGGACCTGAGGTAAACACTTGTTTTCCCACACTCCAGTTTGTGCCCTGCCTCTCATGCTCCTCAGCAACTTTTCTAACATGCTGCTTCTTTGCCTAGGCCTATAACTCTCAGTTCCTGAACCTTGACAAGTTGCGATCTGTAAGTAAAATTCTCTAGTGCTGCCCTCACAAATATCCACATCAGAAATGGAGCAAGCTTGCAAAGCCACCATGGTCTCTTCACCTTTCCCAGAGGGCTAGGGGCTTCACTCTGTCCTCCCCTAGAACTGACCCTGTCCTGGTCTCTTTCCTCATAGGCTTTTAAGAACGATGAATTCCTGAACTGGCATGCTCTCTTCGAGGTAAGTGCCTGGGCGCTCCTTATTCTCCTTGATTGTTTGCAGTCTTTCCAGGGTAGTGGCAACACATGCTAGTTCTCTGGGTTCCTTCCTCAGTTCTAGAAGGGATTAATTGCCACGTTTGGATGCTGTCCAGCCAAAGAAAGTTTCCCCAGGAGGCTGTCATGGCTATACTTCATTTTCCTGACATGGCAGTAGGGAGCAGGGCCACAGAGGCAATTCCAGAAAAGGAAGACCTTAATCAATCAAGAGTTTATTTGAGTCTCCTCATCCTCTATGAAGAAACTGAGGTCCTAAGTTGGGTGGCTTACCCAAACTTAGAAGGCTAAATCAGTGACAACGCTGGAACTAGAGCTTGCATAGCATGTCTCTGCACATACTTATGTGCCCTCGTGCAAATGTCTTCAGTTGTCTGAGCCTCAGTTTCCTCATCTATGATGTGGGGACGATAACAGTACCTACCTCAAAAGGATGCTGTGAAGACCAAACGAAATCATGCCTATAAGGCACTTAGTACAAGGCAGACAGAAGAAGGGCTCGGAAATATTCGTTCTTACTGTAATTATAAAACAAGAACACCATCGCCACTGTAGAGAGCTCATTCAGTGAGTGCTTACTAAGCCATGCTCGCCTGACCTGTACCACATTTCACATTCTCTTTTTCTATTTTATTATTATTATTTTTTTTAGCTGAGCCATCCTGCCACTTGTTGGCAGCTCAGCGGCAGCTCAGCTTGGGCTGGGAATGAAACTGGTGACCCTGTTGCTCAGAGCTCGCACTCTTGAGCGAGGTCTTAACCAACTGAGCCACTCGGCCGACCCTCTCTTTTTCTATTTTAGACTATCAAAAAGAAGCTTCCTTTCCTCAACTGGGATGCTTTTCCTAAGGTAAGAGGTGGTGGGCATTAGAAGGCTAAGGGGCTGGGGGTGAGGGAAGAAGCAGAGGATCTGGGAGGGAGAGTGGGGACAGTGATGAGGAGGATAAACCTTCTTCTCACCAAGGTCAAGGGAAATCTCAGCTACAACATTTAGAGGTGAATGGGAACTTAGGCTGGGGCTGAGAGTCTTTCCATCAGTGCCCCACCCTATCTTGAGCTTCCTTACGGAGGACTCCAGCTTCCTGTACCCAAGGGTGCCCAATCTGACCACGCCCTCTCTCCCTCTAGCTGAAAGGATTGAGGAGTGCAACTCCTGATGCCCAGTGATTGTTCCCTTCAAGACCCAGCACTGATGATACCCATTGGAAGAGGGGGCTAATGTGGTATCTGATCACCATCCTACAATCACTCTTGCCTGGCTCAATAAGTCCAATAAAATGTTTTCCAACGAAATAGCTCCTGTCTTTGCGTCTCTGTTCTTATCCTACTGGGCTCTAGAAAGGAATTAAGATGGAGTGGGTTCCAAGGCGGGTAGGCAGGAATCTTGAATTCTGAGAGGGTAGTAAGAAGTGAGATAGGAGCAAGTGGGAAGAAAATATCAAGATGGCAAGAGACCCCTTGTGTCTTAGCTCCTTAGTACTGGCTGACATCCTTGAGGAGCCTGAAGCTGTGAGTTGCTTGTTAAGATGCCCAAGGAATTGGGCCGGCCGAGTGGTGCAATGGTTAAGAACTGGCTTGGGATGCCAGAGGGCCCCGGTTTGGATCCCACATATGAGGGCCAGTGACACTGCCCTCTACAGCTAAGATGCTGAACAACAGCTCAACCTGGAGCTGGGCTGCTGGGAGTCACCGGTGACCATGTAGGCTGCAGCCCCTGTGGCAGTGGGTTGCCATGGGCTACTGTGTGTAGCCAGCAGCCAGCGTGAGCGGCCAGCAGCTGCAGTGAGCGGCCGTCCAGAAGCCGGCGACTGATCTGCCTCGCCTGGGAAGAGTGCAATGATGGTGCCAACTTGGGCCAGTGAAGCAACGTCCTCCACCACTAGACTGAAGAACAAAACGACAGCACCTTGTCTGTTCCCCCTCACCCAATTCCCCAGCACTGTTCCCATCCCCTCAATTCCCCAATAAAAATCTTAAAAAAAAAATGATGCCCAAGGAATCAAGTCTGCTCCCTGAACTATTGGTACCCTCCCCTTCCCGCCTTTTGAGAACCTGATTTCCTTTGTGGTGACAATTTGGTATAACAGAACTATCTGGAATCCGAGGCTCAGGACCTAGCTTAAATCATATAAGCTTATTTGAAATCCTTTAAAAAAAATTAGGTAAGTTATAAAATAAAGAAAACTAGTAGTATGACCTTGGGCCTTTCTAAGAATCCATTTCTTTATCTGAGATATGAGTGTGGAAATAAACCAGAATGATAATGACCCTGTGGTGTTGTTATGAAGGTCAAATGAGATAAGGTATGTAAATCCCCTTGCATAAGGCCAGGTACAGTAGGTACAGTAGGTATTCAACAATTGTTGTTCCCTCCACTCCCCCAAAGAGTTGTCAAATGACCCAGACATTATTTACTTACTCACTCACTCGCCCACCAATCCATCCATCCATCCATCCATCCATCGTCCATCTATCCATCCATCCATCCACCCAACTACCCATCCACTGCAAGGTCTTAAAACATAAAATGTATTGTTTTAGTTCCTGCAGATATATTCTGCATGGAATCTCTGTGTACTCTGTGTGCTTGCCCTGTGTCTTTTCTTTCTTTCTTTTTTAATGAGATATTTTATTGGGAAACTGTGTGTTTTTCTAGGGCCCATCAGCTCCAAGTCAAGTAGTTGTTTCAATCTAGTTGTGGAGGGCTCAGCTCCTTGGACCATGTGGGAATCAAACCAGCAACCTTGGTGTTATGAGCCTGTGCTCTAACCACCTGAGCTAACCGGCTGCCCCCCTGTGTCTTAGAATGTTTAATTAGTTGGAATTATTTCTGGTTTCTCTTGAAAACTGGGAAAATCAGAGAACAACGGAGTTGTGATAGGCTTAAATCTAAGTTAACAGCTACCCTCCTTACGTAGGACATGGTTTCCAGATCAGTAAAGTTTCACGTGGCAAGTTTCATTTATTTACATTGCCTTGTGACCTTTATAAGCAACTGAGTTTGCAAACTGTGGCCTGTAACTTACTTGAGGAAGTAGACTACAAAGGAAAGTTAAATTTGTGTAGGCAGAGGAAAAACTTCCTTCTACTCTCTTAAATTCTGTGGTTGGCTTAAGAATTAAACCGACAGAAGACAAAATAACAGGAGAAAAGCATACAAATTTATTTAATATTTTTTTACATGTACACTGGAGTCTTCAGAAGGAAAATGAAGACTCGAAGAAACCATTAGGCCCAAAAGCTTATATACCGTTTTATACAAAGAATAATAAATTGTGGGGATGTGACAACACAAAGGGGCTTGGACTAGGGGCAATAAACTGTGGGACAGTGACTAGAAAATATATGGAGGAAACTAATGGAAGATCAGGGTTATTTTAGTAGGTTTGTTTGTACAGACTGGAGTTGACTCTCAGACTCTGGTGATAAGATTGATCTTCTCTTCCTGGTACGGGGAGGGCATCTTTCTCAAGGAAAATGTTATGACCTGCTTTTAAGTAGAAAGGGGGAGGGCAGACAGCCCTTCCTGCATCCGCTATGTCTCAAGTGCCTTCAGCTCCAAATCATCAATGTGCCAAAGTGACCTATTTTGGGGTGGCAAAGCAGGAACCCTTTCACTTGGTTCCTGCTTTCGAAGAGCTTCCAGATTAGATGACTAAGACATGTAAATGTTGCTCATACCCTTTCTTCTGCTTAAGTAACAATAATAGACACATACATGCGTGTGCACACACACAAGAAGCAACTTATAAATGGGATCAACGGGAAAAAAAACGGAGACTGGTCGAATGCCACAATAAACATATTTAGTAAAGATTGAAGGCTCACAGATTGGATGGTAGAAAATGGAGTAGAGGAAGAAGGAGGGGAGTTCCTTAAGACACAAACTGCGGGTGCAAAAAATATATATACAAGTGGACACTTTGGTCAACATTGCACAAGCAGTAGTTCGCTGTAATCAGAAGTGTCTAGACGCTGATGGTAACCACTTCGAGCACCTCTTTTAATTGCAGAAGTCAAACGTGACTTGTATCCATCTTTTGTTATTGGTATATACTGAGTATTACAATTTTAATACAGTTTTCCTTTCTTAAAATGTGTATACATTTTTTTTGGCACCTTCTGTGTATTAAGTGGCTAGGTTTTGGGAAAGAACAAGCGTCATCGCATAGGAGTACCTTTGAGGTAAAAGAGTAGCGCTCAAAGTGTAGTCCTGGGATCAGCAGCAGCAGCATCACATGGAAATTTACAAGACCTACTGACTCAGAATCTGGGAGTGGGGCCCAGCAATCTGTGTTTTAACAAGCCCTCTAGGTGATTCTGATGCACTGGAGCTTGAGAACCACTGAGAAAAGGAAAGCCAGAGAATGATCAATGCAAAATTCAAGATAGTAGTTCCTTCGTTGGGGGAGAGACCATCATGTGAGAGGGGAGGGGCAAATGGAGGAGGATTGAAGGCTTCTACTATGGTGTTTTTACTTTATTTTTTAAATACCAGGGGTGCCAAAAATATGTATACACATTTTAAGAAACGTTAACGCTTTGGTCAATGTTGTTCAAGCAGTAGTTGGCCATAAGCAGAAGTGTCTGGATGCTGATGGTAACCACTGTGAGTACCGCTTGTAATTGCAGAAGTCAAACATGACTTGTATTCATTTTTTGTTATCGGTATATATTAATACAGTTTTTTCCTTTCTTAAAATGTGTATACGGGCCGGCCGAGTGGCTCAGTTGGTTAAGAGCTCACTCAAGAGTGTGAGCTCTGAGCAACAGCGGTTCAATTCCTGGCTCCCCTCCCCCCCCAAAAAAAAAATGTGAAAAAATTTTTTGGCATCCTCTGTATATTATAGAGGAGGGAAAAATATCTTTCCTTCTACCCTTCTAGATTCTTGGCTGGTTCTCTTTAACAAAAGACAAGTTAATAAGAAAAAAGCATACATATTTGTTTGACATAAGTTTTAGGGGATATGGTGCGGTAGGTAAAAGGCAGGACTGGCTGTGGAAGATGAAAGGCAGGGCTCGTTGTAGAACAAGAAAACCTCAGCCCTTTTTAAAACTTTTCCTTGAAATTTATCTCCAGACCCCAAGGCAAGACTGACAATTACTAATCTGGGAACCACTAAGACCGGCTGCAGCCAGCTAGAACCAACATGGCAACGGATTTCACCTAGCAGCTACCTGACCTTGAATTTTTTTCCTGCAGTGCTGCCAAGAATCCACTGGTCCAGGCTCCTTCTTGGGCCACCCTGGGCTGAGGCCTCCTGGCTTCCTACAACAACGGGAATCTTCACAAGGAAATTAAGACCTGAAGAAGAGGTTATAGCTGCATGTTTTTGTGCTAGGTTTGATAAAGAGTGGAAAGTCATGGAAAAATGTAATAGGACAAAAGGGGTATGAGCTCGGTGTAGTAAACTGTGGGGAACTTAGCAAGGCCTGTTCATTCAGATTCCTCTTGGGAGTCGCTTCATCTTGGAGATAAGGATGCTTGTTTCCTCCAGGTGTAGGGAGGGCACCTCTCACATTAGGTCTTATGACCTGCTTCAGGGGAAAGTCAAAGTCTTTCCTGCCCCTATTATCTCATACTCCTCCAGCTTCAATTATTCAATATGCCAAGGCACCATATTTTGGGGTAGTGTGTCCTGAACCCTGTCAACACACATTTTATACACACTTAGGTATATTCACAATATTATTAAAGCAAGAGAATGTCTGAGTAACTTGTGAGTGCTGAGGGAATACAGAGTAAAGAGACAATTTGAGGGACGGCCAAGTGCTCATTGGTTAAAAGTTGGCTTGGGAGTGTGAGCTCTGAGCAGCAGGGCTACTGGTTCGGATCCCACATGGGCCAGTGACGCTGCGCCCTCTACAGCTAAGATGGTGAACAACAGCTCGACCTGGAGCTGGGCTGCCGTGGGTCGCCGGCAGCCAGCGTGAGCTGCTGTGAGCCGCTGTGAGCAGCTGTCCAATGGCCTGTGACCGACCTGCCTCAGCGGGGAAGAGCGCAATGATCACAATACAAACATGGGCCAGTGAAGCGACGTCCTCTACAACTAGACTGAAGAACAAAAAGGACAGCAACTTGTCTGTTCCCCTTCCCCGATTCCCCAATGCTGTTCCCTCCCCCAATTCCCCAATAAAATCTCTAAAAAAAAAAAAGAAACAATTTG